GGGTCTTGGGGCAGCCTTCAATATCCACCATCCAGGCAGCAATGCCAGCACGGAAAAATTAACCACTACTAGTGCAACTACTAACTAGTTACACCTACTATTACTACTACTATAACTTCTTCTCATACTACTTCTACTACTATAATTTTATTTTCCAGCCATTGCTTATGAGAAACAAAAAGTACCAGGTAGTTTTAAACAACAAAACAACGTGGGCTATTCAGAGTGACTATTCTCTTTTTCTTGTTTTTTTTTATATAGTTACGCTTTTCAGCTGACAATTTTCCATAAATGTGTTAATGTATAAGAGCGGACTTTACCAATGCTATGTTTAATTAATTAATATAGCCCCCCCCCCCTTCCATTATTCTTCCAGATCGTGGCTTGTTCCTGTGACTGAGTCAATTGATTCGCCAATATGCCTGTATCACTAAGTGAATGGAGGGTCCGAATCGGAACATTTGTTCATTGGATTAGGGAGTATGAGGTTAAGGAGAGGAGAGAAAGATTGCTGAAAGAAAGGATTCGAAGACTGAAGGTTCTTTGCGAGAGACTTGAAGCGAAAATTGGTGATTCTGGAGAGGAGTCCGAAGATGACAAAATCAGACAAGATGACCCTGATCCCAAGGGATGTCCTCATAAAACTTCGAACATTCGGTCGTCAGGAAACTCATCAGATATCAAGGATTTACTAAATTCATGTGATCAGTGTATACAAGATTTATTAACAGCAAGTGATTCTCATGTCAAGGAGATACTCACCCCTTCTGAAACATGTATGAAACAATTGCTGACACCGAGGAGAGAAAGATTGCAAAGGATTCATAGACTGAAGGTTCTTTGCGAGAGACTTGAAGCGAAAATGGGTGATTCTGGAGAGGAGTCCGAAGATGACAAAGGCAGACTAGATGGCCCTTATCCCAAGGGATGTCCCCATAAAACTTTGGACATTAGGTCGTCAGGAAACTCATCCGATATCAAAGATTTACTAACTTCATGTGATCAGTGCATACAGGAATTATTAACGGCAAGTGATTCTCATATCAATGAGATACTCACCCCTTCTGATACAAGTATTAAACAATTGCTGACACCAACTGATTCAAACATTAGACATCTGCTCTCTCTAACAAATTGTTGTAGAGATGGCCAACATACAGCATGTGACTCTCATGTTGAAGATCTTACCAAGCTTACACCAAACTATTCAAACATCAGGGAGTTGATTATACATTCTGACTCGTGCTTCCGAGAGCTACATATGTCAGCTGATGCTTGTAAAGATGATATGCTATCTGATTCTGACGTCAAAGAGTTACTAACACCTAGAGATTCCTACATCCAGGAGTTACTTACATCTAGAGATTCCTACATCCAGGAGTCACTAACATCTAGAGATTCTTACATCCGGGAGTTATTATCAGTAAATTCTCACATCCAGGAAATGTTTACTTCAAGAGATTCCTACACTTGTGAGTCAATTACTACAGGGGTTTCCTACACCAATACGTCACTTACGCTGGGAGACTCCTACATTCAGGAGTTATTCACACCAAGAGATTTCCACACTAATAAGTTACTGACACCAACAGATTCCCATGCTAATGAGCTACTTGCACCAGAAGATTCCTACATCCAGGAATTATTAGCACCAAGAGATTCCTACACCAATGAGTCACTTACACCAGGGGACTCCTACACCCAGGACTTACTTACACCTAGAGATTCTGACATCCGGAAGTTATTGACACCAAGAGATGTTTATACCAATTTGTCGATTGCACCAGGAGACTCCTACATCCAGGAGATAATAACACGAAGAGATTCCTACACCAATGAGCCACCTAGACCAGGACATTTCTACTTCAATAATTCACTTACTGGTGTTGGACTTGAATCACCTACATCTAGCTTAGACAGTGATGCCGTACAACATGGAACTTTTGTTGGAAAGGTAAGCAGGCTTCCTGTTCGTTCTTTTTTTTTATACAAATATTCTTCTTTATATTGATTGAACTGTCATTGGAGAAAAACAATCAATGTGCAGATATATATGTATGTAAATAAATAAATATCTTGGAACTGTCTTTAATGACAAATTATCATGGAGGGATGACACACAATCGGTGTATAAGAAAGCTAACAAGAGGTTAGATGCTGCTTGTAAGTGTCGGCTTGCATGGTGATGTAGATATATAGTAGGTTTGCGGGTGCACCATGTGTGAGAGAGAGAGAGAGTTTATTATCTTTCTTGGAGAGGATGAGTGGCTCGACGTTTCGAACAGGTTGACTATCCGTCGTCAGGAGTCAGGAGTCAACCTGACGACGGATAGTCAACCTGTTCGAAACGTCGAGCCACTCATCCTCTCCAAGCGCTATAGTTCTCCTTAGAGCTATATGCTAAGAAAGATAACAAACAGTCCTTTTCAGGACTACACTCCTCCAAGAAAGATTACCGAGTCAGAGTCCTTTCAGGACCCCTCAAACCTATCTCTCTCTCACACACACACGGTGCACCCGCAAACCTACTGTATAACAAGAGGTTGTTTTTTTTCTGCGTAGAAAAGTCTCCATGTAGATGCAACAATCCTGACCCTGTTCTACAATTCAATAATAAAGAGTGTCCTGCTTTTCAATATTATAGGTTCATTTGGCAATCTCTCAAAACAAGACAGGACGAAATTGGAAATGCCACATAAAATATCACTGCGCATAATTGGGGGAGAATTAGCTTCTGTCGAGTCTCATTGTACTGGGCTTATTATTTATAAGGTCTGTGCAATCATGAAAGACAATACCCATCCACTTCATTTATTTTATTCATTTAATCGTTCTGGTATCCGACTTCACCCTACCCGAACCCGCCCTTCACGATTCAGATATTCATTTGTACCCGACTCTGTTCATAAATTCAACTCACAGGTTAAACGTTAAACTTCGCCGTCAGAAATTAAGTAATACTGAAACTATTATGATTTGAAATACCAATGACCAAGGATTAGTTTTGATGTTCTTGATGTGAAGTACCAACGACCATTTTTGTCGCTTAATTATATTTTGCATGTATTTGCTCCTTATTCCAACTATTTCTATAAACGTGATGTATTTACTTCTTGTAATTATGTATTTTCTTGAATATTACCGTAACGCCAGTGGAAACCAAATTTCTATGTAACTTGTTCGCAAAGACCAAATAAAATATCTTGTATCTTGTATCTTGTAAAGGTAAATATTAATCATGACATAATATGCACCGTGACAATTGCTCTACTTTATTTGGCCATGCACCGTTCATAATGCCCTGTATACTTTATTTGTCATACATGTAGATTATTTGACTGATTGGAATATCATTTAATTTGCAGGAGATGGCAAATGCATCATCAAGAGCATCATGCCACAAAACGGAAGGCTTGAAAGGAACAGTTGATGTGATGTTATCACAGCAGCCGTACCTGGCTGAGTTACTGCTTGTTAAAGCAGGGGATGTGGAGCTCAATCCGGGTCCTCTTCATGGGTAATACAATTTAAGCTATTAAAATGAATTAGCACAGACGACATGCACCATGTAAACCCACGCATACACACGCTCGACTCATACATGCGCAACCATATTATGCAATATATATATATATATATATGCCTGTGTATGGGGTGTCCATGTGTCAGCAAGTTTGTTCTTTTGGCCAGGTGCTTTCAATCTACAAGCCTTTACCAGGCTTCCATGTCGCCCTCTGCATTTCAAAACATTTCCTTTTCTTTTCTTGTGTTGTTCGTTTACTTCTTGTTATTTTTAAAAAAGAAATCAAATTATTCGATTTATTGTACATGATGGCATTTTTAAAAGTAATTGTTACTTCTTTAGGATATCGGAGTCATGTTGTACATTTATTTATTGTAAATTTGTTCAAACCAATTATCAACCATGTCCTGCACATGTCAACATGAAATATTTTGTTACTTTATGTTTGGAAATGAAAATAAATGAAATTAAAATGAATTTGTGTCCCCTTTTCATGAGTAAAAATAATGAAAGTATTTATTTTCTTGAATACATGGATTTTAATCTACTTTTCTCTTCGTTTTGTATTCTTTTAGATCGATAGATAGTGTACTGCAGGAGAGTGAACTGATATTGCTCGCTAGAGAAGTTCCAGGCAACTGCTATGATTACCTGTGCATTGGTCTTGGTTTCAGCTTAGCTCAGAGCCGGAATGTACTGACCCAACATCATTTGAACCTCCCAGGAGCTTTGATCGAATTATTCTGCGGATGGAAAGTCAGGCAGAGAGATGGCTCTAATTGTAGAGCACTTCTTGGGGAAATTCTAGAAAAGGCTGATATGGGTGCACTTCAGACAAAATTATTGGAAGGTAAATTTGCCATTGTACTTGTAATGTCTTTTCTGTTACCTGAATGTCGTCATTTCACGCGTAATCACAGAGGTACATGATAACTATTCACATATACAACGGACAGTAAGAAATAAACGAAAGCGCGAAAGATTATATTCGCATTAAAAACACAATTTATTAAATATAATTTAAATAGGAGAAGTATTATGTGCCCAGAAAATTATTGATTAGGCGTACAAATCTTATCCACTTTAAAGCATCTCTGCACTAGTTTGGCTAGGAGCCAGCGTCGTCCCTGACAGATTGTTATCTCATCAACTCAGCTTTGAATAAACATAGAAAAAAGGACCAACGGGCACCACTAAGGCATTGTTTTTATATAGAGGGAGCAAGAAGTGCAGTGGGGCTTTAAACTACTTTACTATATGTGCAATGTAACACAATTGAAGAGAAGAGAAAAGTGCGGAAGTATATCCCAGCTTTCCTTATTATTTACATAATGTTCAGACTTATGCTCGACCCCCCCCCCCCTCCTGGCATGGATATTTTTATGTTTTAATACAAAATGTGGACATTTTTTTACAATATTAATTAATAAAACATTTACTGTTCTTTTATCTATGTACTTTGATTTCTGTTAAGGTGAATATCTTACATCTGGAACATCACAGTCTGGTAAGTGTACCTTACACATCTTACATGGGACCATCGTGTCTTATTTATACAAATTATATAAATAATTGCAGCTAAACTTAATTTTTCAAAGTAGTTCCAGAACAATGTAGATTTGGTTTTAGATCAATATATATTTCAATGTGAAAATTGATTAAGATATTCTGTTCTCTCATTCTCTGTTCATATTTGGAATAAAATTAGGTTAGGGTGGACTTTCTTTTTATAGCGAGCTCTTTGGACATATTACTGGACAAATATAAAACGTGATTTGTTTTTATGTGTATTCGTTACTATTAAGAGCATTGATTAAAGTTATGTAATCATCTATTTGTATTATATCTACAATTACCGTCAAAGACAGATAGTAATTTTACGTTTGACCCATATCATTTCACTTTCGAATAAGACCCCGTTTACAGTGAGAAAAGGGCCAGGGCCGGGCCAGGCCTACTCAGCGCCGCAATTTTGTGCGTTTACAGTGCTGGGCTAGGCCGCGGCCTAAATTGTAACCTTTCAATATTTTGTCAGAGTGGCGCTCTGCATGTAAACAAACGATTATTTGGGGGGCGCGCCGGGGGTCACAGTGCAGATCCGGTCGCGCGCGATTTGCAGTGAATCTTTTCTCCAATTTCCTATACACGGCGAACTTTCACTTCCGGGGTAACAGTTGGCCGCGCATTTGGCCCTACGTGCGTTTACAGTGCACAGTGAGAAAAGGCCGGGCCAGGCCGCGGCCGAGACTATCTCCAGAGCAGGGCCAAATGCGCGGCCAGTTTGGCCTCGCATTTGGCCTTTTGCGCGTTTACAGTGCTAGGCCAGGCCTTTTGCTCACTGTAAACGGGGTCTAAGTTGTGTGTCAGGATGTGCTGCAACCCTGTAGATATTTGATTTGTCCCTATATTATATTTATCACCCAAAGATGTCATTTGCCTCTCTAGACGCGTTATGAATTTAATATCTGTGTCGTTTATTTGTAACATCTATTTGAATAGATATTTCGTTGAATTAACATAAATTGTTTTTAATCTCCGTACAGATCCAATACTGGATACTTCCCTACCAAACATGACTGAGGCACAGGTTCTCCAGTGTGGGGAAGACTTGAAGACATTCTATCGCGGACAAATGTGCAAAATCAAACCTAACCCGCTTGATTTCAATATCATCCTTGAATTCGAGCAAATTTACACAAACTTAACGCTGCTCAGGAGCGAAAAGGGAACAAGGAGAACCAAAATGCCACTGGATTACACTGATCTTCTTACTACACAGATTAATGGGGAAATTCCTAAGCGTCTTCTGGTTGAAGGTGAAGGGGGTGTAGGTAAAACGACCTTCTGTTCGAAGATCGCATGGGATTGGGTCACTGGATCTCCAGAGTTTCAGAACTTCAGTTGGGTTCTGGTTATACCCCTGCGCAATGTTGTAAAGGGTCAGACAATTGGTGATATTATGTTAAACTATCTCTCTGATAGTAATGCTGTAAGCCCTAGACAGATCGATAATTACATATTGTCTCAACCTACAAAGGTTCTGATTGTACTTGATGGACTAGATGAGTATGATGGGGACCTCTCTACCACAGCAAGCTCAGATATTTCTCAGATTCTACGATCGGAGAAATTCAAGGAATGCATTGTTCTGGTGACAACAAGACCATGGAGGGCGGAACAGATCAAATCCAACGAAGGATTGAGTAGGTTGTATGCATTCATTGCAGTAGAAGGATTTAGTGCTGATAATGTCTCAAAATACATCAAGAGGTACTTCATAAATGATGAAAAGGCGGGATCAGAACTCAGTCGGTTTATTGAAGTGAATGATGTAATCAAGGAGAATATGTCACCCTTCCCAATTTTCGTAGCAATGCTATGTATCTTATGGGAACATTGTGACAGAGAGAAAAGAGAAACAATACGAAGACTGAAGACATTTTCTCAATTATTTGAACAAATGATCATGTATCTAAGAGACCATTATGTGTCAAAGGTTGTCAAAGTGTTACGTAAAGCACATCTGGACAAGGAAATGGAAAGTATCAAGCTTTGTTTGCAAAGCATAGGATCGATTGCATTCTCAGGACTACTGAACAAGAAATTAGTTTTTAATGAGGAGGACTTCAGCTCGTGCAAGGATGCCATGGAGACATGTTGCAGAATCGGAGTTCTGAGTCAGGAAAATCGAAATGTTTCCGGATGGAAAAGAACCTTAACTGCTTCACAGTCTGTAATCACTAGTGTCTTCTTCCCTCACAAATTATTTCAAGAATATATTGCATCTGTTTATCTTGCCTCTCTATATGACACGAATCGCGAAGAGTACAGTAGGTCGATGGGTGAGGTACTGATGAGCAAGAACCCACAAGAATTCCGTTACCTCTTGTATTTCACTGCTGCCCTTGGAAGGGAGGTGGGACTTGATATTGTCAAGAAAATACAACAAAAGGACTTCCCAAATGTACGACAGAGAACGAGAAACAATGATTTTCTAGCAGATATCACTTTTGAAGCGTATGATAAGGATACAGCGAAAGCAGTAGGACAACATATATTTGCAGACGAGAAAAAGTTGACCTTCGATAAAGACAAGCCTGCTCACACAGTGTCTGGTTACCTCTTCGTCATGGAACAGCATGGAATGGTTTGTTATAACAGGCCTGTAATTAGGATTTTATTTGGGGGGGGGGGGTGGGGGAGGGGTGCAGACATAAAATGAAGTGGACTCTTTCGTGGGCAGGATGAGGGCCTGTGAAGTTGATCCCCCCTCCCCCCTCCCCCCCCCCCCCTCTTTAGGTAGGGAAAAAATTGCATTTTTCTGTCCTACCTGCAGATGTTGTTTGCATTGCAGGATTGTTTCGTTTACCGATATCAGATTGAGAATCATCCTCCTTGTTACACGCATGCATTGTACAAAACAGAACATTATAGAAACATTACATTAACCTGATTGACCTACTATGCATACTGCCAGTTGAACGTCAGGAAATTATAAATATAGCCTGAGAAAGAATTATATTTATACTGAAACTAGAAAACAAGTTCTGATAATTCAAATAATGGTTTTATGTATATATATTAGATAGCTTAGACAGATACCGAGATGTGATTGGTCCAGAGCTCGTCACGTGATATCAATTGCGAGGATCCAAATTGTTATATTTTCCTGGCCGGTCACTTTTCGGTGTTATATTTTACCGGCTGGTGAAATGAATATATTTTTAATCAATGCATGTCGCCCTCTTGAGGACTGTATGTCACCAATTACACACATTACACCATAACCGAGGGTCATTTTATTTTTTCAATATTGGTTCACTAATTTTTTTTTTCCCTTGAAATTATTTTTTCCACATGTTTTTTTTTTTCCCAAAAATGCTTTTTGGGGTAATTTTTTTTTTTCTTTCCCGAAAAATGCTTTTTAGGGTAAGAATTTTTGTTTTTCGATTTTTTTTTGTTTTTGTTTTTTTGTTGTTTTTTTTTCCCCAGATTTTTTTTTTATTTTTCTTTTCTTTCTTGAACTATCTCGACAGATTATTTTTACGTAATTTTGATTGTCCCCCCCCCAAAAAAAAAAAAAAAAAAATTAAAATTTCGGGCAAAAAAAAATATGGACCCCCCCCCCCCCAACAAAAAAAACAAAAACAAAGGCTATCTAATATAACAGTTATTGACTGGCAGGGGGTATATAACATTCTTTGGACCTGAAGGGAGTTATATTTTCCCTCGTGACCATATTTTCCCTCAGCGCTGTGCGCTTCAGGAAAATATAACCACTTGGGAAATATAACTCCCTTCAGCGGTCCAAATAATGTTATATTACACCCCCTGCCAGTCAATAACTGTATAATATATACCCAGGCCTGTATAACACGTCAGGATCATTATAGCAAAAAGAATTGTATAGTAACGTGTATATGTCTATTTCAGGAAACTTTGGTGTTCAGAGACAGATCATGTGGCCCGACTGTATCACGTGACCTAGCAGACGTCCTATTCGCATCGAACTCATTATCAAGATTAGAGTTTTATCGTACAACATTGGATGATGACTTCTATCAGTTAATGCGTACACATTTGTCTACAATGGCGGTAAATATATACATATTTAAACAGAATACTAATGATTACAATTGGTTTTTATCAGACGAATTTATGCCATTATGTTATACACAAAGCACACCTTTGGTCAATCGATGCCTATATTTTAGTGGAAAATTGCATATGTTCAGAGAGGCGAAGAAAGCAACCAAAGTGTTAAAGATACCTTGGATTAAATGTAAAAGTACCTTTGAGAAGACTAACTGATCAGAGAAACAGGAATGATCGGACAAATAATCTTCAAATATGAACATTTGAAAGTACACAAAATTACTTACAATTTTAGAAATTCTCTCATATGATAATCAATGCCTCGTATGTATGATCATACGGTGAGAACTAACATTCAGGTCGATAAATAATAATAAAAAGTAATGATAACATTTATAATAATGATAATATAATATGAGATTTGGAATGTCGCAAACCCTCTTCAAATCAAATTCACAATTCGCAATTTTGAAAAAAGGAAATCACATAAAAGCATCTACATTATAAACAAAGCAACAGCTGTAAGATAAAACATACACAAATTTAAGAACAAATAATCATATAATTTGTTAAAAAAGTTACCCCAAATGTCCGGTCCTATTTATAAGTAATTCGTTTTTTTTTAAATAAAGAATTTAATGAAAACGTATTACCGTAAAGCAGGGTGGCAACTAGGGGTGGGAGGGGGGGGGGGAGTGTTTACGGGTATTTTTTCCTTTAGCGGTCATGGAAACAATTATAGTTCTTGACGGATAGTACAACTGCAATGGGCCATGAGAAACAGTTGTATTTAAAATTCCTATTCTCTTTTCATTAGAATGGGAACATCTGTCTGTTTGACATTGGTAAATTTGACTAAACTGTCATTCGTTTCCATACTAACAATTTGTTTCCCAATGTGAAAGTTACATAAAAATCATAACTAGAGTCTGATATTATTTGAAAATAGACTTATTGATAATATTCTACTTTGTCATTTCGCATACAGGAAGATAAATCCTCAATAAAAGAGATGGTTGTAGATCATCAATTCCTAAATGGTCTATGGAGGGTTAATAACGGTGACGTTAATGTGACTATTGGGGACCTATTCCCGAGCTTGACACAATTGACTTTTACCACTCTTCACACTGTCTCACCGGGAGATGTTGAACGGTTGGCACATTCCACCCTAGCAGCGCTGTCTATTCAGCGAGGGAAGAAAGGGACAAATCTAGTTCCTCTCATTGGAGAACCTGCTTCACTGGGGCAACTTTTCTCCAGGTCATTCCCACAACTCACCTGTCTGACCTTCCGAGGGCTAGTAATGGGCAACATACGCAGTGAAGCAATACTACGTAATATAAAGAACCACCTGCATTTGAAATCAATAAGGTACGTTCAGGGCCATGTTTGCATAAATTATGATCATTTCCAATATAAAAAAATTATAACAATAATAATAATAATAAAAACAAAGATAATAATAATATTAATACTATTGATAATGAATAAATAAATCAATAAATAATAAAATGAGTAAATTAAAACAAAATGGAAAGGCCTATACAATTATGTTTAGAAAATACAGAACATATATTAAATGTTTTCAAGTTCTGACAGCAATCAGAATTATGACGAGATTAAAAAGGGTAAGAGTTCTCGGCTCCTAGCAGCATTTCAATTAAATATGTTTTCACCATAATGATTCCAAGGGTTAGTTATTGTAATGTAAAAGAGGACTTAACACAAATACATGTATAAACTACACGTACATATATAAACTACTTAATAATCTTGATGATTGAACCATTGCCTTTAAGGTGTTGATTATTGCACAGCAGCAATTTAGAACATTAGTAATACACGGTATTTTTATTTCACCCTCAATACCATATTTGTTTTGATAGTATAGACTTGTCAAACATTTTCTAAACTGTTTGAAACCTACACAAAAATTCTTTTAGAAATCTCATTAGCTGATATAATATAGCCTTGTCGGAAGGAAGTATAATATACATGTATGTTATCAAAGAGCATCAATTCTTTGGTTCCTTTAAACATTCAGTGATTCAAAATGATAAAATATAAATTTTCCATGGAAATATATTTCATATAGTATCATCAGCTGTTTTACGGATAACGAATTGAACTCCCTGGCTAATCAAATAACTACTGAGAGCAGGATGAAAATAAAACTTCAACATCAAGAGGTAAATGTCTTTTTGTCATATCCACTACGTTGGTCCTAAAGAAGTTTTAAAAGTGAAAAATAAGATACCTAATGGGAAGTTCACCTTGATATTTAGTTGGTTTTAATAAAAGCGGTAAATTGAGAGAAACAAGTCAGTGAATTTTTGTGCAAATTCTGATAGAGAATAATATAATTATTGGTTATTTTGAGTTGTATACTCAAACACATATTGACAATGCTATGAAGGTTCTTGCGAGTTCCTCTCCCAATTGGCTCTGTACTTAAAACGATATTTTATCTAAAGAAATATCACACATTTTCTTAACATATAATAATTAGACATTTGTTTCTACACAACGTACGCTTGTACAAAAAGAGATTCTTTCATCAGCAACTAAGAAAATTAAAATGTATTATTTCTTGTACAGCCCAAATTATTCCTCTTCTTCTATGTGCAATATCAATTAATAACAGAACTTGAGAATTATTTTAATCAATGTGAAATAGCCTATTTACTTGTTAATATTTCTCTTTGTCGATGTCAAAATTACATCTTTATCATTACTATATTTAATTCATTCAAGGTTTCTCCACTTTATACTCTGATGTAATATCAGTTTGCCAATTTCGCTTAATTCAGGAACATTACCTTGTTTAACCAATATTGAAACTTAGCTTTGATATCTTATCTTTTATCGTATTTTATCTGTATAAACATCTAAATGTTATCCGACCTACGTATAAACCTGTAAATTGTTAATCATCAATTTTCTATCTCATGTAAAACGAATGACAATTTTATATCATCAATGAAACTGTAAATCGTATTTCAATATACACAATGTTTGTTAAGTGTTCTATATATTTTAATGTGTTATCAATGCAATGTTATGCCATGTACTTTTTAATCTGTAAATTGAACAATTTCAGCTTTGAGCTGCATGTCCGATGATTTTTATCTCAATAAACCAATACAATACAATACAATACAAATGGAAGAGGATACTAGGAAGGACGTCAAGTTTCAAATACCAAGTATCATTCATGTCCGATTCGAGTACAAATTTGAAAGCATATACATCGTCAGACACCTGCAGAAATTTGGCTGGCCTGAAACCGAATTAATTGGTAGTTTAATATACACTATATGATTTGCATTTTATAGAAGTCCGATTCAACTTTCCCTACTTCATTTACCATATAAATCATGCTCAATTATATTTGGGAATATTTCCAAAATATTGCTTTGTGTTCACTGTGCGGGCGATGTTATGATATGCCCTTCAAAGTTAAAAAAATAATAAACAAGAATATCTTCTTTTCAACAGGCACAAAGGACATTATCTTTTGACAGCAGTATTGGACCATTAACAATAGATATGATAGATGCACTTTGCCATCGAACGTGTGTCCAACAGTTGGATTTGGTTGAGAATGATGTAAAGATTGCAGGTATAGAACGTTTTCCAGACTTGAATGGCAGAGAGGTGGATTCAAAGGTTAGTGAAGCAGCTAAGCAGATATCTTACATTTTTACCTCCACATCCTCTCTCTTTCTCAGTTTTCATCTCTTCCTTGACCATAACAGTTCCTTTCCTTGCTGACTTTCCTCTCCCATTTCCTGCTATTCTCTCAATTTCCCTCTCCGTCTCTGTGCTGTCTTTATAATTAGATGTCTTTTTAGAGGAGGATATACTATTTCATTTTGAATGTCGAAATCTTAATCTTTGGATGTATAAGTGATATGTTTATAATTAATCCCCACTAGAGAGGAGAGCCTTCGAGTCAAACCAGATTTATTTGGACAATCCTAGACATTACATATTTCATTGGTGTTCTTTCATGCTGACCTCTGTAATTTATTTCATGCAAATAAAATTTTAAAAAGGGAAAGAAAAATCATATATTCTGACGAATAGTGTACAGACTTGATTGTAATAGCTGATTTGTATATATCTTTTCTGGTTATAAACATTTTATACGGAAAATATATTTAGACCAACCAACAAAACAGTAAGTGAGCGTATTGCTCATAAGATTTCTCTAACCCCCCCCCACACACACACACACACCTCAGAATCCTGAAACATCGCCTGTAACTACATGAATGTTTAAATATAAAGTTGAGTTCTGGTCATGCGATTGCATTAAGAAAGAAAATGTGTGGAATGGGTCAGAAAAAAGTTGATCATGTAGCATGTTAGTATTGGTGTGAAGTGCAAGGTTCTGGAGTTATACAAATCATATTCAATTCGGCCCAGTATTGGTAAAGTAACAAGCACTGTACACAGAAAGATGTATATGGGACTACACAAATGGTATCGCGGTTACTTACCTTGATTTCCTTATCTTTCTATACTCATTACTTAGCCAGTATGCATTTCTACTAAAATTGTTTGGGAAATGACATTTATTTGTAATCTTGAACATTCAGCGTAAGTTTCGACTGATTCTGTGAGAATTCGTTTTCTTTCTTTTTTAACCAGAACTCAGGTTTATCTTTAATGTGAGAGTACAGACTATTATATGGGTTTCCACTTCTCCCCACTTCATGCTACATGATTTACATATGGCATTCATTTGTCTTTCCACAGATTAAGATGTTAAATATTGGGGATTTGAGATTACATGATAACCAATCAGCATCCTGTTGTCTGGGGAAGTTTCTCAGTCTCCTGCCTCATCTTGCAGACCTGAAGATTCACTCATGTTCCTTTCATGATGATTTCTACAAAGAGATTGTTGAAAGAGCTTCTTCATCTAAGGTAAACAATTATTTTAAAGAAGCAGGAAAAAAGAGATGGGTAATAGAATGCATCACTCTGGCACTCGTCATTTTGCCTAAAGGCACATTTGTCTCTAAATGCGGTCTTGCCCCCCCCCCCCCCAAAAAAAAAATAATAATAATAATAACAATAATAACAATATTATGGTAACAATTTAATCAACAAACTTAAACTATGTTGTGGCATCAACATCAAAAACTTAACCAAAGGTTAAAATTTTAATTTTTTAACAAAAATGTTGTCTCGCCTAGCAACAA